GAGGAGGAGGAGGAGATGCGAGGTGCGAGCTATCCCACGTGGTGGTCTGAACGAGCTACGAGCGGCGTTGCTGCTCAACCTTGCTAAGCAGTTTGGGCAACTTACCCTCATGAAGCCTGGTCAAATACTCACGGCGGTGGGGAGCGATATGCTTAGAACACTCCTTGGCCAGCTCACGCAACTAGGAATGTGCGAAGTGGCCGCGTTGAGTACAAAACCATAACCTCTGCACTCTGGACAAACGCATCTTATGGAACCCCTCGACCCAGCCCCCAGCGGAGGAGGAGGAGGAGGAAGAGGAGGAGGAGGAGGTGGAGGAGGAGGAGGGGAGGAGACAGGGGGGAGGAGGTAGGAGGAGGAGGAGGACGACGAGAGGAGGAGGAGTAGGAAGACGAGGAGGAGGAGGAGGACGAAGACGAGGAGGAGGATGAAGGAGGAGGAGGAGGAGGAGGAGGAGGAGGAGGGAGGGTGGGTGGGGTGGGTTGGGTGGGAGGGAAAGGGAGGGAGGGAGGGAGGAGGGGAGGAGAGGAGTAGGATGGAGAAAGGGGTGGGAGGGAGGAGAAGGAGGAGGAGAAGGAGGAGGAGGGATGGAGGAGAAGGACGATGATGATGATGTTGATGATGATGAGGAGGAGGAGGAGGAGAGATGGAGGAGAAGGAGGAGGAGGAGGAGGGGTGGAGGAAGAGGAGGAGAAGGGATGGATGAGGAGTGATGGATGAGGAGAGGAGGAGGAGGAGGAGGAGGAGGAGGAGGAGGAGGAGGAGTGATGGATGAGGAGAGGAGGAGGAGAAGGAGGAGGATGAGGAGGAGCAGGAGGAGAATCCCTGCCCGCCGCCGAGGTGGTCGGCGTCTCGAGGCCCTTACAAGGAGCCTCGGGACCGTCCACAACCAGCTGGGAGGAGAAACACGGGTCGCGGGGAAGTGGTCGAGAGAGGTCGGGGAGCCCGCGCTGCAAAAAAAAAGAGACGAGACGCCGCATGTCCGGGGGGAGCCCTCCGGGCCCACCATCCGTTCCCAGGCCTGGCGTCTCGTCGCGGACCGATCGCTGGAGGGGGAGCGGGATCAAGGATCGAGATTCGGGGAGGAGGATCCCGAGGGTCCTGGCATCACCAGTTCTTGGAACGGGAAGTGGTCGAGAGGTTGGGGGTCCGCGTCACGAGAAAATCGAGGCGCCGGATGTCTGGGCCTCCTTTTCATGCGTGCTCTGTGCAGGGCCCGCGCGCAAGACACGGCGCCCCCGCCGCTCTCGGCGCGCCCGCACAGCGGTCCTCAGCCAGTGGCAGACGCGGTCGCACTTGATCCTCATGAACCGCGCGTCGTCGAGCTTGGGCGACGGCTTGCTCCCCCTCCTTCCTCCCCTGTAGGAGCAAACTTCCAGCGCGCACCCCTCGCTGCCACTGCGAATGACTGAGACCATGTGCACGGCAGGTTATACCACCCCACAGATACGAGTACCATTTCAGTCGCCATTGCCGGCGCCACTACCGCTCCCACACTACCTCTGCAACTACAGTTCAAAATGCCAATTCCACTACCAACTCCACTGCTAATTCAACCACCACAACCACCACAACCACCACGAATATCACCACTACCACTACAAATCCCACTCTCACACCAACTCCCGCCCCCACCTACGAGCGCCAATACCACTACGTACCGCTGTCACGACCACCACCAATACTCCGACCAGCATCGCTATCACCATCATTGTCACTACATCTGCCCCACATTGCGATGACCACTACCAAAACCACTGCAACTGTCTGAAGGACTGACACAGCCGCTACGGCCACTGCTACTGCCACCGCTAGACCAACTACCACTACGATTGCGTGATTGTCTCTACCACTACAATTACCACTAACGCAAACAACTCCACCGTCGATGCCGCCGCCCAATCATCACTACCACATTCCGCTGTCACTAACAGACCACCACCACTACCACAGATAACTGCAACCACGACTTCAACTAACACCACTACCACGACTACAGATGCAACCGCAACCACTCCCACTGCAACAACTGTCTCTCAGACAACAACTTGCATTACCACTGCCACCACTACTTCGCTTGAGATACCACTACCACTACCACTCCTACTTCCACACTCACCACTACCAATGTCACTAGACAGCCTCACCATTGGGGCCAACACCATCGCCACAAGTAGTGCTTACACGATCACTCAACCATCAAATCCACTACATCACGACCACCACGACCATCAGCACCATATCCGAATCCACTACTCACACCCTTCCAACATAATCACCTTCATTCAACCCCCTATACCAAACTCATGACCAACACACCTACTCGAATCGTGCCATGCTAAAAGTATATTCGCTGTCACCACAGGCGCAACCATTAGCACTCGTACAACTTCAAACGCATTGTGATTTTCTGGCCAAGCATCACTTCAACGGTTGCGACGAATGGGAGTGTATAGAACTATCACGTAGGAAAGTGCGGCACACATTTTGGGTTGCTACCCACCTCCTTATCTGGAGTGGAAAAGGATGGCAATTCGATTCTTGACGTGGAAAGGCGCTTACAATCTCGTGGGGCCTCGGACTTCCCAAATACACACTTTCACCAAACGGATACAAAACTCTGAGTTAGCTCTCACGCTTACTTCCGTCATTGCCATATACACCCTGTATGGCGACTATAGTAAACAGATCATGGTGCTACCAACTTTCGACGATGCTTACATTGGAACCGAATTCGCCGGCCCAACGGGCCAGGGCGTGCTAAGATCTCCGGTAACTGGTTAACAGTATTAACAGTATTTCTAGTTCGCGCGCGCGGGGCGGCCCCTGGGGGTCCCCCGGCGAAAAGTACCCCGACCAACGCCCGGCCCGCCGCCCGACCGCCGCCCGACCGCCGCCCGACCAAGTCTACTCAGAGATGGTTTTCCTTCTGGGTGCGGCCTCTCAGGCTCCCCAGAGCGCGCTCAGAGTGCCCCAAGAGGCCCCCAAGACTGCCCAAGAGGCCCCCGAGACGCCCAAAGAGCGCTCGAAGACGCCGAAGATGACCCCAAGACGGCCCAAAAGGCCCCCAAGACAGCCCAAGAGGCCTCCAAGACGCCCCAAGAGCCTTCCAAGAGGCCTCCGAAGAGAGCCCCAAGAGGCCAAAATCGTTGATTTTCATTGTTTTTTTCGATGTTTTTTGTGTTCTGGCTTTTTCGGCTTCCGGACGCTCCAAGACGGCCCAAGAGGCCCCCAAGACCGCTCCAAGACGGCCCACGAAGCTCCCAAGACGGCGCCGAAACGACCCAAGAGAGCCCTCAAGACGGCCCAAGTGCCGCCCAAGACGGACCAAGAGGCCCCAAGACGGGCCCAAGAGGGACTCAGGAGGGATACCGAGAACTCAAAAATGGAGCCCTCCGTCCCAGAAGGCGCCCAGGAGGTCCCAAAGAGGCCCCAAGAGGCCTCCAAGAGGCCCCAAGATGTCGCCAAGAGGCCCCAGGAGACTCCCAGGAGGCCCAAAAGAAGCCCCAGAAGGCTTCAAACATGTCTCCCAGGCGCCCCCGAACGGCCTCTCAACAGACCCCAAGAGGCCCCCCAAAGAAGCATCTTGACGACGACTCTATTTCGCCCCATCGAGAGACGACCCCCAGGGAACTGCTTCACCATCAAAACTCCCCACGCAACGCGTCCGAACGACACCCGCCCCCAAGAGCGCAACATGGGCAACGAACACACAGACAAAAACCAGCGATGCCATATCACGGGCCGGCGGAATGAGCGAAGCGATTCAATAAAAATAATAATAACACACGGTAAGGATGCAAGGGCCTTGGAAAGCCATGTCGACACTTTGCGAGCGGGGCGCGGCCAGCGAAGGCGGCCAAGGATGGGCCGAAGGAGAAGAATGCAAGGGTAACCTTGTGAAAAAATGCTTATCCTTACTATGCGGATTGACTTCACCCTGGGGCTGAGGATTTTGGACGAAAAATGAAACATTGTCCAGAAAGACCCAAACATTGCCAAAACATGTGCGAAACATCGTCCCCAGGCTATGTTTTGACAATCTTCGAAAATTCCCCTTCTGTAGAGGGACAGGCCCGACTTAACTGTAGAGGGACATGCCCGACTTACGACTTGCACGACACCGACTAGGAACAGAGAAAGGCGACACCAACACCACCAGGGCGAGGAGATGCGAGGAGGCAAGGGGGATCTCCCTGGTGGTGTGGCCCCCCCCTCTCGGTCGAGACATCCCCGGCCTCCTCCAGCTCGGGGCGGCATCGTGGACCTCCTCGTTGGAGGTGGGCCCCCTGGTGGTGTTGGTACTCCAGATTTCGTAATAAAAGGGAGGGGGTCTGGACCCTCCAAGACAAGCCATTTCAGACCTCCCCCCGCGGGAGAGAACCCTCCCGAACATCGTCCCCAGACCCCCCAGGCCCTCCAAGACAGCCTGGAAGAGACCGCCCCCCCCGAAATGAGACCCCCCTCCCTTTATATTACGAAACCTGGAGTATCGTTCCCCCCCCCCTCCGAGCCGACGACTGCTGCTGCCCCTCCTCCCTGCTGCTCGCGCTCCTGCCCGCGGGCCCGGCGACCCCGCCCTCCCCCCGATGTCCTCCGCGGAGCCCCCCCCCCCCCCCTGGGGCCCCGACGGGCCGCCGGGCACTGCCCCCCGGGGACGAGCCCGAGCCCGAGGAGAGCCAGGGCTGCCGAGGAGGGGGGAGGGAGGAGCAGGAGGAGGAGGAGCAGCAGCAGGAAGGAGGGCAGAGGGAGGAGGAGGGAGGGGGGGGAAGGCGGAGGAGGGCGGAGGGAAAGGGGGAGGAGGAGGAGGAGGCAGAGCGGGAGCACAGAGCTGTCGCGGCTTTCGGGCACTCGGCCCACCCAAGAGATTCCGGGGCCACGTGGCCCTGGCCTCGCCATCGCTCGGACGTCCATTCCCTGTGCATTTTCCGGCATCGTCGTGCATCTTTTCTCCAGATGCCCAGCATGCTCCGCGATGGTCCGTGCCGAAGCACATGCACACGTCCGAGCGATGCCAAGACCCCCAGCCTGGACCCCGACGCTCGGCCAGGTGATCCAGGGGGTCCCCGCTGGGGATGGTGGATTGGTGGGGGGAGGGTTGGTCGGAAGCTGGGAGAGGGCTGGCAAATCCGTGGCTGCCAAAACAGTCTTCCGGGAAGAAAAAAAGACAAACTCCCAGAAGAACACGCAGCGCACCAGATAGTAAACGGGCTGCTTCCCGGAAGAAAAGAAAACAATTCCCCGGAGCTCCGTTTTGGCAGCCACGGGTTTGCCAGCCTTCGCCTGGCTTCTGAGTTGGAGCTCCTGGGGGCCAAAAAGGCCACCCCCCCATCCCCCAGCCAGGACCCCTGGATATCCAGGTCGGGAGTGGGGGTCCTGGTTGGGAGTGGGGGTGGGTTGTGCTGTGCTCAGAGTCTCGACTTGGCGTCCCCAGGGTCGCCCCTGGTTGGCCGGCGAGTTTCGCCGCCCACGGGGTTGGCCGGCGAGTTTCGCCGCCCACGGGGTCCTCTTGCTCTTGACCAGTGTAAACAATGAGCCTGAGAGTGCGCGCTGATGATGCGTGGCCCCACGCATGGCAACGTTGCGGCCCCGCGTGGACTCTCTCGAGCGCTAGCACTGTGCAGTATGAGCTTGCGTCACAGTGAGGCGTGAGCGTATGCGCACCTCGGGGCAATCCCCCTTCCACCCTTCCCGTCACCACATTCCCCCTGCAATGCCACTCCCCTCCCTCCTCCTCTCCCCCTCCCTCTCCTCCCGCTGCCCCTGCCCCCTTCCGCAGCTTCCGTTGCCCCCTTCTCCCTTCCCATTCCCACACGCGCCCGCGCTCTCTGTCTGTCTCCCTCCCCAGTCCGCTTCCCCCCTCACCCCCTCCCCACCTGGCTAGGGACCCCCGAAAGTCTCTGGAAGTGCCCAGACGTCGCAAGATGTCCTGGCGGTCTTCCTAGACCTCCGACGTCATGATCTGTTCTCACTCACAACGTCGACCCCCCAGAGGTCTCGACCCATTCCCTGGGACCGGTCCTTTGTTGACGCCCCCGAAGCTCGTTAAGGTCCTCCTGAGGCCGAAAATAGCAACAGAAACGTCCGTCATATTTTTTGTTGTTCACGTCGCGGTGGGGTCTAGGTCTGGACGTCCCGGATGCCTCCAGAGGCCACATGACCCCAGAGGGAGGCTCCCTGAGAGCAGCGATCCTAGAGGACTACCTCGAGGAACGCGGCTCCTTGGTGGGGCCTTTTTGGGGGGGCCCCTCGACATGAAGGACAAGGAAGAGGAGAAGCACCAGGAGAACGAGGAGGAAGACGAGGAGGAGGACGAGGAAGAGGAGGACGAGGAGGACGAGGAGCAGCACTGGGAGAGAACGATCTTCGCTCTCGACCTGCACCCCGGGCCTTCGTCCGCCCCGTGCCCCTCGACGAAGAGACCGAGGAGGAGACAAGAGCGGCAGCAGCAGCCGGCCGCAGGCGGCGGCGGCCGCGGCGCAGCTCGCCAAGGCCTCCCGGTGAGGCTGCCACCAGCCCACCTTCTCGAAGTACTTGTCGGAGTGCAGGGTGGTGGCCTTGTCCAGCGCGGCCTGCGGAGCGGTGGCAGAAGATCCCAAGGCAGGGGCACAGGCCTTGCTCAGAGGGAGGGGGGCGGAGCAGCGCGCACCCCTCGCGTTGTGGATGCCACGACAATGGACACCCCAACAGTCCTGTCATTGAGTTTAGAATGTGTTTCAAGTATAGGAGAAATGCTCTCAACATGTTTTAAACATGCTGTTTGCTACAGATTTGAAACACGTTTGAAACATCTGGAAAGTGTTTGGCAGCATGCTTCCTCTCCATTGATCGTCCTCCGCAACCCCTCGCGCCCCTGTTGGACCCCTGGGGGGGCCCCACCTGGGGCACAGAAGGTGTACCTCTCTTCGCCCCCCCTCTATGTTTGTCGCCCTTCCCCCCACAGCGCGCCACGCCCGACGGGCGCGGTAACTGCTTCAAACTCGACGTCTTCGCAGGGTGTGGGCCCCGGGATCATCACGGATCGATCCGCCTCGAAGAATGACACAAAGAGATCAAGGGATCCACTTAGGGCTCCGAGTGTTGCAATGTTGTCACACCGTTGGATCTCAGGGGTGCGCAAAACTACGTAACAATGAACGCGAAGCGTCTGGAATAAATCACCGCCCGCGTCGTTGCTGCGTGACCCCCTACCCCCAGCAGTTCTCTATCTTCTTGAATAAATCAACGCCCGCGGCGTTGCTGCGTGACCGACCCTCAACCCCCAGCATTTCTCTATCGCCATCCTAGGTTACGTATGACGCTGGATGCCTGGCCCCGCTCGGGGCAGCGCGGCGCGGGAGCAACGGGCCTGGATCTGGGAAGCCTCCTCGCGCAACGCCATGCGAAAGGCACGCCTGGAGCCGTCCGGCATAATCTTCCGCGGTGTTTTTTTCCAGCAGAGTCGGCGTGTGACAGCATATCAGAATAATCAACTGCATAAACATAATTCCGGATAGGGTCACACGGATGTATCCCCCCTCCCTGGCGCGCGAAGAGCGACACGGGCGACGCCAGACGTGCCGACAGAGGGTCCCGGCACCAATTCACGAAATCCGCACGCTCCACCGAGAAAAATTACATTCGTGCAATTATTTGTTTCCCTCGGGGGCACTGGGATACGACTGGGGCGAGAGTCAGGTCGGGACGGTCCTCCTACAGGCGGATTCGGGAAGAACATGCAACGTAGTCACGAAGTGCTCAAACATGGTTTAAAACACCACGAAGCATCGCCGCCTGACTACGTTCTCACTATTCTTGATGACTCCTCCTGTAGAGGGACATGCCCGACTTAAAGCAAAAAGGAAGGGACCCTGGGACACACACATAAATACACACACAAATAACAGGATTCCTCATAGTATCCCATATGTTCTGGGTGCTTCTCTTCCCCCACACTTCCCATGTTTTCCCATATCTTCTGAGGAATCGACGATGAATTGTGTCTGTGTGCTTCTCTTGGAGGCCTAGAAATTGGCACCAACACCAACACAAGGGGCTGTCTCCACAGGGGGATGATGATCCTAGATTTCGGTGCTGGTGGTAATATTTCGGTCGCCTTGGCAGCCCGAGTATTAGCACCGTCACCGAGATCGGGATCGTCCTCCCTCGGTGGAGGCACACCGCCGATCTTGGTGTTGGTGTCAACCCCTAGGCCTGCGATTCTTTACCTCCGGATGAAAGCAAGAAGGAGGTGCGCGGGGCAGGGGGCATAGATGCGGAAGGTGTACGGCTTGGAGCCGAACTTGCTCAGCTTCAGCCGGTACTGGTTGTAGAACTTGCTCAGGGGCTTCCTGCCCCCCGGAGCCCCGCGAGGTGCCGCAGCGCTGCTCACGCAGCAGAGGGAGCAGCAGAGGAACAGGACGATGCACTGGATGACGACGACGATGAGGAGGGAGGGGGAGGAGGGAGGGGGAGGAGGGAGGAGGAGGAGGAGGAGGAGGAGGAGGACGATGAGGATGGAGGGGGAGGAGGGAGGAGGAGGAGGAGGATGGGAGGAGGAGGAGGGAGGAGGAGGAGGAGGAGGAGGAGGAGCATCAAGAACGGACCGATTGGCGGGATGGCGCCGTGGACACGAGCGACCAGGACGCGGAGGAGGACGCACAGTCTGCTCTCGGGGGAGACGAGAACGGGGATGAAGAAGAGATGCTGCACGAGGGGGAGGACGATTTGTCACAAATATGTGCGTGTATCTGTATACATTTACAGATTCTAGAACCACGCACGCGCCTCGCGCGCTGAGGGTGTGGTAAGCCCCAACTCTTCATAAGCTCACAGCTCCCCCCGAGTAGTTACCCACAAATGGCTTGAACGTGGGGCGAAGAAGTGTCAGCAACGCGGGCCGATCAGGAACGAATTACTCACGAGGACGCATCAGTACGTAGTTTTGCGAAGACCTGCAAAACCACGGAAGGACTCCAATCAATGCAATGTCAACGCAATGCAGCACATTGCCATGGCAACTGAGCGCGAAGGCAATGCAACGCAACGCATTGCAAGCATAGTGAGCGAAGCAAATGCAAGGCACCACGGGGCAGCACAATCCATGGCAACTCAGAGAAGCAGATCGATGTGAACCCATGCAATTTGAGCCACCATGCAGTGCATGTGCACCTGCGACCGATGGAGGGGAATACAACGCAGCGTAATGCGCATGACCGATCAAACCCCAAGCACCCGGGGAACTCAGAGATCCAAAAGACGTGGAAGATAACGAAACGACCTGGGGAACCAGACTTGGGGCTGCAAGTGCCATCGTGCCTCTTCCGCAAACCAAGGGGGGAGTAGAGGGGAGCGAGTAATGATGGGCCCGTTTTCCACCACCACCACCATAAGTTGGAGGGGGAGGGGGTCCTTCTCTTCCTCCTCCTCGTTCTCCTCCTCGTCCTCCTCCTCCTCCTCGTCCTCCTCCTCCTCCTCCTCCTCATCCTTCCCCCCATCCACCTTCTGGTGGTGGTGGAAAACACGCCCATCAGAGTAAGAAAAGGGAGCAGGGAAAAGCGAGGATGCACACAGAAGGACGAGAAGACTCAGGCAGAAGCGGGCGGAGGGAGGAGTAACGGGAGAAGGGAAAGGAAGGAGGCGTCTGCATAGCATCTTCTCTCCACCAGTTCCGACACGCTCTTCACAAGGGTCGCGCACCCCTCGGGACCGCCACCCGCTGGCCCCGCCGAGTCCGGAACGTCCCTCACACGGATCGCGCCTCCCAAGGAGTTCCACTTACGGCGCCCGAGTCAGCAGTCACACGGCGACACTCCGCCCAGTTCGGCACACCCTTCTCACAGATCGTGCCCCACAGGGAGCTCCACGTACGGCCGCCTGGGAAGATTCGCATAGCACTCCCCCGGAGCTCGACCCACCCCTCGAACGGATCGTGCCCCACACGGGGCTCCACCCACGGCCCCAGAGACAAGGTCCGCATCTGCTCTGCCCCCACGTCGGCACAACCCTGACATGGATCGTGGCCCACAACGAGCTCCGACAACGGCCCCAGAGAGAAGGCTCCCACGGCGTCCCCCCTTTCGGCACGCCCCTCACACGGATCGCGCCCATGGAACTCCACGGGCGACTGCAACGGAAGGGGTCACATGGCGTCCCTCCGCACATGTCGGCACACCCCTGACGCGGATCGTGCCCCCCAAGAAGCTCACGATCATAGCACACTATCAGTCTTGGGCCCAAGCGGCAGCAGCAATGATTGGGGAGAGCAATGTAAAAAACAATCTCGGGGGGGACTCGGCATGGTTTCGTCTCGGAACGGCACAGAGGACGATAAGGATGGCGACGAAGATCACTGCCTCGCTCGCGACGTTCGTGGAGACGACGAAGAAGGGGAGGACAAGGAAGAATCGGCACGGAATTTCGGGGGAACGATAGGGGGAACCAACTCGGGGGGGAACATCAAGCCTGAATCGGCGATACATCGCCGGTAGATCGGCGATAGGCATCCGATAGGACAACCAGATGTTCCTGGGCGTGAGGGGTCATCGGACCCCCGCGCCGATGAATGGGCGATTGGGAGTCGATGCCTTCCCTCTGAGCCGGTCCCCTCCGACTCATGACCGACGCCGCCCCTGAAGACGCCCTAGGTCTTCCCCGAGCACGGCCGCAGTCGGTGACGGCCGAGGGAGGAAGCGCGGGGGCATGCCCTCTTATGATTCACCAAACAAGGACCCCTAACCCTCCGAGAGGGTACCTAAGTTAGGCGGGCCAAGAACATTGAGATAGTAGGTCTTTTTTCTTGCAGATGTACAGAGGCAGACCGCCCAAATGTATGATAACTCTCTTATTAGGGTTAAGGGTTCTTTTATTCTCGATGATCACCCCCTACCTCCGATAATCGCTCGCCGACCCCTGCAAAGCTTTCGGGTCCTGAGCCGGCTCCCTCCCGCACCCCCTCATCCAGAAACCCGCCCCGACCAACCTGACCCAAAGACGCTCCACGATGGGGGACCTCGACAAGGCCCAAAGAACATTCAAAAACTCCCGTCGTCCTCGTCGTCGTCCTCCTCCTCCTCCTTCTCCTCCTCCTCCTGCTTGCTTTCTCTCGTCGTCGTCGTCGTCGTCATCGTCGTCGTCGTCGTCGTCGCGATGTCGCTGATGCGCAAGGAGTCCTCGTTCGCAGGCTCATGAAGTTGCCTCCGGGGCTGCTCGATCACAAGGAAACGTGTCGGCTTCTGACGCTCCCGCAAAGCCGAGCGCGGGATGCGCGACAAGGCCAGGCCGACGTTGCGCTCTGCGACAGTGCGGTCCGCTGCAGCCCACGAGGGAGCCACCACCGTGGAAGCAGAGGCGAAGGCAGAGCCCGCACCGCCGCGGGAGGCAAGGCGGCAGGCGCCCGCGGCCAAGATCAAGGCGAGAGCTTTGCTGAGCAGCTTGCGCTGAACCGGCACGTGCAGGGATTAGGCGAAGGTTGCGCGCGTTGGCGAGAGGATTTCGGCTGGCACTCTGATCAGCAGAAGTGCTGTCATGAGCAAAAGAGGCTATGGATGTGACCTGCCTTCGCATGGCTAGGCCTAGACTAACTTGGGCTTCGTACTTGGTTTTGGATTCAACGTTCGCTTTAGCTCCTGCTATTTCGCTTGATACGCAACTCAGACCGTCGTAGCGAAAGCTTTGCCTACCTGTGTTGTGTTTGCTGGCATGGGTTTACCTCAGGCTGACGTTACCCACGGCGGGCACGCACCCAGTCCCGCGGGGAGCGGTATCGGGGCCTCCTGGGAAGCGATCTTCAGCCACGGTGCAGGGGTCCGATCGCGCGCGAGCGCGGACAGCGGGCTTGCCTGATACCCGAAAGGGCTCGTGCGAGGTATTACAGCGATGGGTGCCCCGGTTTAGCTCGTGCGAGGAAGTGCTCATGGGAGAAGGTCATCAACTTAAGTAGAGAAGCCAGCGCGGGCGATGAGGAACTCCTCGGATAAGATGGTCAGCTATGCGGCGAGGATCCGATCGTGCGAGAAGGCAGGCAGTGACAGCGGGCTCGGTTGCGCGTCAAACGGGAATCGTGCGAGCAACATCTCATCTACAACGCAAGGGTCAGTTCATGCGAGAATAGCGCTCATGAGACGGATCTTCAGCTAATTACGGTGCGCAGATCCGACCGTACGTGAAGGGAGGCCATGGCAGCAGGTGCAGTTGCTACACGAAGGTCGTGGGAGAGACATCTCAGCTAGAGTGCCGACATCAGTCAGCGCGAGAAGGCAAGCAATGGCAGCAAGCTCTGTCGATGCACCAGGCCTCGTACGATTCAGCTCCGCGAAAACACGCTAGGAGCTCATGTGTGGAACACGCGGGCGAGGTTTCCACCTACAGTCCAGACATCGATTCGTGCAAGATGCAATTTCGTCAGCCGCTGCCTGAGCGCCTGGGCAAGCGAGGATACATAGGATGTTAGCTCTCTTTTCAGCAAGGCCGTGTTGCGACCCACGTTGCGGCCCCAAGACCGCTAGTGCCCGCTAGGTCCCCCTGCCCTCCTCCCTCCTCTTCCTCCTCCTCCTCCTCCTCCACCTCCTCCTCCTCCTCCTCCACCTCCTCCTCCTCCTCCCCCCCATCCTCATCCTCCTCCACCTCCTCCTCCTCTTTCTCATATTTCTCCTCTTTTGCCTCTTTCTCCTCCTCCTCCTCCTCCTCCTCCTCCTCCTCCTCCTCGCCCTCCTCCTCCTCCTCCTCCTCCTCCTCCTGGTCCTCCTCCTCCTCCTCCTCCTCCTTCTCCTCCTCATCATCATCATCGTCCTCCTCCTCATCCTCTTCAACTCCGCCCTGGCTTGTTCGCCAGAAAAGGACTCCTGCAGTTGAGCGAAACAAGGAAGCCCTGCGCTGCCCGCTGACCCTGACTTGTGAGAGGTCATCAGGGCGCACGGGTTCGGCATTCTCGCTGGGGCCCCCCTGGGTCCTTCGCATGTTGCGTTGCGGCCTTCCTTCGGCTGCCCTCGGTCCTCAGTCCCTCGCCGGCTCGTGGGCCCCTCGTGCTTTGCTGTGCCACACCTGGGCCTTCGAACCTGGGCCGGTGCTGTACGCTGTGTCATGCCTCCTTCCTCCCCCCGCAGCGTCACGAGGCGATGCCAAGCCACAGGCCGGGGCGGGCACAGCAGCACGGTGGCAGGCTCGGCGACGCCCTCGTGAAGCCACCCAGCTGCCTCACAGCTCTGCGCACGAACGGAGCTGGAGCGGCCGGCCACACAGACAGGCCGTCCCTGCGAGAGATGGCCTACAGAAATGGCCGTGCTTGTTTTTTTTTTTTGTTTTTTTTTTTTTGTTTCTCTCTCTCTCTCTCTGAAATAGTCCCGCCCCGCCCCCCACCGCATCGTGAACTCGGAGATGCTGAGGTACCTCGCAGGGCCGCGGTACCGCGGCCTGGGGAGCTCGGGGCGGACCGGCTCCGGCGGCTCCTCGCGCCGAGCGCGCGGAGGAGCGGCAGCGGCAGCAGCACTGGCGCCGCTCGCGCCGAAGTGGGCGGAGGAGGGGATCGCAGCAGCAGCTGCAGGAGCAGCTGTGGGAGGGGGAGAGGAGGAGGAGGAGGGGGAGGAGGAGGATCAGCAGGAGGACAGGAGAAGTAGACGGAGGAGGAGGAGGAGGAGGAGGAGGAGGAGGAGGAGGAGGAGGAGGAGGAGGAGGAGTGCAGACCAGGAGGGCGAGGAGCACAGGAGGAGGAGGAGGACCAGAGGAGGAGGAGGAGGAGGAGGACCAGGGAAGGCCCCGCCCCGCGTCCCTGGAGGTCCGCCTGTGCGCTGCGGGGAAAGCCTGCCTGTAAGATGACAGCCCCGTGGGCATGCTGGCCAAGCGAGGCCCCTCTGTGTGGAAAGGAAACGCTCAACACGTACAACAACTGTGATTGTAACGATCCAGGGCCATGCCCCTGTGTTAGAGGGTATGATCATATGATAGTTCCGAACCTCCCATACTACATTAACCTATTAACTTGTGGCATCGTATGCGGTGTCCCGCTCGTACTTGTTCCAACATCCCACACGATACTATGTTGAACACATGTCCTCCTCTGTGAGATCAGAAAAGGTTCAGTAATGATATGAACTCTTCCAGTGTGCTACGGTAGTACCATGCTCAGCGTTGTTCTAACAATGTGTGTGTACGTGCCTACCCTGCTATATGAAAAACGATGTTAGGGTCTGGTGGATTATCTGTGTTTGGATTCGGCTGCATCGTAGTATGTCCTGTACCTGTATGTAATGTCTTGGTCAAGTGTTATGTTTCCGTCCGTACTGGTTCGTCATTACAAGATGGTATGGTATGCTATGCCCTGCTCTACCCCCTATTCGTTCTCATAACACTATGATGTGTGATGGTCTGTTCAGTTCTGGCCTTTTTCTTCGATGCGATGATGTACTACTTTATCGTTTCCGATCAGGCCTGTCATGTCTTTATGCTCAGTGCTGCTACACTCTAGTATGTCATGGTCTGTCCTCTTCGGATCTACGGTAGTAGTATCTAAAACTCTCATGTATGATGCTATGCTCGCTTATATTATCGTATGTTCGGAACCGTTATCATACATTGTATGTGATGATTATGTCGTCTTGTCTAGAGTACTATGCCACATGGCATGTTGATATGTTCTGTAATGGTGGTCCAGCTCTGTCTGGTAAAGGCGTGACGTTGTGACGCCCGAGCGGCGTGACGCCGTGGCGCCGTGCATTTCGTCGAGGACCCGAGGCAGGCCACTCAGGAACCGCCGGCGGTCCGTGGGATGTAGCGGCCGCGGTATGCAGGGTGGGTCAGGTGGGTCGGGAACACTGTCCATGAAATCTAAAACTCGGTCGCTGCTGTTTTCTAATCTATTCGCCTAGCCGTTCTGTACGATCTGGTACACGATGCTCTGTTTTTGTGATGGTCTGCCGTGGTCTGCTACAAATGGTTAATATCTTATGATAAGCGAGGCGGGGAGTGGGACACTCAGGACACTCAGTGGTCCTGAGGATCTGGCGGCCGCAGTATGCAGGATGGGCCGTAGTAGTAGAAGGCAAGGCAGAGGACGGAATACTCGAGATGCCTGGGGATCTAGCGGCCACACAATGCAGGGTGGGCGGTAGTAGTACTAGGAGGGCGGGGAGGGAAACTCGGGATACTGGGTGGACCTGGGGATCTGGTGGCCGCGGTGTACAGTGGGCGGATCGGGAGCCCTGTTCTCAAAACCTAACAACCCCAACCTGTCGGGTGGGGAAAACATAGACCCGCGTAGCGGTGCACACAGTTGAAACGAGCGTGCGCGGTGCTACCCGAGAGCCAAAAAATGAAGCCGAATCGCCCTCCATTCTTACACCTGTGGGGGGGGGTGCTAAGACAAAAGTGCACGGAGCCAATTAGTCAATCATATGCTGGACACGAGCTGCCATCCATCTGCGCAACTGACAGGCACTTCACGCTTCAAGGCCATACGCAAGCCATGACATATTATTCGGAACACGTGGCACGCCCTAGCGACACGTCTCGCAGTTCGACATTGAAGCGCTAGTGATACGCAGAGGGACGAGGAGAACGGGAGTAGGAGGAGGCGGATGATGGAGGCAGTAGAAGACAGGGAGGACGTTTGGAGAAAGCGTAAGAACAGCAGGGGGGAGAAGGCGCAGGCTGATGAGCAGGCCGCAGAACATGAGGCGAAGCAATTCCTCGTCGTCATCGGTAAGGCTTCGGGTTGCACACAGGCAGCCCCCCCCAGGTAGTCCTGGCTGGCCTCAACAGGCTCCCCGAATTGTCCAGGGCGGTCTTCACACATCAACCTTGGGACGCGGAGCGCTCCAGGGGCGTCGCCAGAGGCGCCAAGGTGTTGAGACCGCCACGGGCTAACCGGGGGGCCTGTTGAGGCCAGCGGGGATTACCAGGGGGGGCTCTCTGTGCGCAACCCGAACCCTCACAGTCGCCCTGTCCTCCTCCTCCTCCTCCTCCGCCTCCTCCTCCTCCTCCTCCTCCTCCTCCTCCTCCTCCTCCTCCTCCTCCTCCTCCTCCTCCTCCTCCTCCTCCTCCTCCTCCCCCTCCTCCTCCTCCTCCTCCTCCTCCTCCTCCTCCTCCTCCTCCTCCTCCTCCTCCCCCCTCCTCCTCCTCCTCATCCCCTCCTCCTCCTCCTCCTCCTCCTCCTCCTCCTCCTCCCACTCCCCTCCTCCTCCTCCTCCTCCTCCTCCTCCTCCTCCTCATCCTCCTCCTCCTCCTCCTCCGCCTCCCATTTGCAGTTGCTGCTGCCCAGGCAGACTGGCACGCCAGCCGCTCTGGCTGCCCTCAAGACGAGAGAGAGGCGCCGCCTCGCCAGCTGCCCGCGCGCAGACCGCCGCCACGACGCTTGGCCCCAAGCCAGCCCCCGCCCTCGGCAGCCTCCGAAGGCACACAGCGTTCCCGGTGTTCGGCGGCCTGTCACCACGTACGTTCCTCCCTAAAGGGGCCCCAGGACACACAAATGAATACACACAAATGAAAATGTTCCACCTGTTTTCCCATATTTTCTGGGTTTCTGTCTCCCCCCCACTTCCAATATTTTCCCATATTTTCTAGGAAATCGACGATTAATTGTGTCTGTGTGTTTTTTCCCTCCTGACTCTCGCCGTCCATGGTATATTGTCTTCAATCTCCTTTGCAGGACCAACTATCATCGAATCGGGGAGCAAGACCGGATCGGAATGTGCGCCAATTCGGGCCGCGTCTGCACGGGAATCGGCATAACATCGGATCAGGTGCGCCAAGCTGCACGTGAGCGCCAGGCCGGCCGGGATCGTCTTCACATCGGGTCCATCGGATCAAAGTTGGCCCTGCGCTGTCACGATTTTACAGCCTGGAAGAGCTTCGGATGTTGCGTACAAAGAACACAAAGGCGCTCATCTGCTCCAGTACCGACTGGCGGCGGCAGAACTGTCTCACCACAAGGCCGCGACAGGTGGCAGTGCTCCTGCAATGAGAACAACGAGCTGTCGGATAATCACCCCCGCCGACCATGCTTCATCTCCAACCAACCCTCTGGCCAACGATCCTTGCAACCCCAGCCAGCCCTCTCAGCCAACCCTGGCTAAGCAGGGCCATTCCGTCTTTCATATGTAGTGGACATACAAGACCGGTTAGAAGCCGGCAGGGACAGTCAGGGGGGATCCAACAACGAGGAAGCCATTGGGACAACCATCTCCATCCATCGACCAACCTCTTCTGGTCAGTCTCTATATCGCTCTCACAATGTATTGATGTAAATATCTCGATACCATTACATATACATCCCCAGGCCGAAAGTTTGTTTTTCTTGAAATCCGCCGGCCCCCTTGTGGGGCCAACAGGCTGTAGGGCGAAGGCTCGCAGTTCCCTGTACCAGTTGCAGCTTCCAGTTTCCACTGTTACAGTTCTGCTTCTTGCTGCTGACTGTTCCTTGTTGATGGACCGCGCGAGGGGGGGAGGCCCAAAACGGGCATGTTTACCACGTCCTGAGCGTGCGCTCTGAATTGATGGGGTGGATAAAAATGAACACCCCGCACGCAGATCGGCGGGGTCAGGCTCCAAAAACACAACGGCTTTGTCACATTCCTGAAATTCGGTGGCATGCCTCACGCAGATCGGCGGGGTCTGGGTCCAAAAACACAACGGCATTGCCACATGTCTAAAATTCGGCGGCATGCCTCACGCAGATCGGCGGGGTCAAGGTCCAAAAACACAACGGTTTTGCCACATTTCTCAAATTCGGCGGCACCCCTCACGCAAATCGGCGGGGTCAAGGTCCAACAACACACGGGATTTGCCACATGTCTGAAATTTGCTGGCACCCCTCACGCAGATCGGCAGGGTCAGGGTCCAAAGACACAGGGGATTTGCCACATTTCTGACATTCGGCGGCACCAATCACGCAGATCGGCAGGGTCAGGGTCCAAAAACAAAAGGGATTTGCCACATTTCTGAAATTCGGTGGCATCCGTGATGTAGATCCGTAGGGTCAGGGTCGAAAAACGAACAGGTCCTGACACTGCTTCACGGCGGCGCCCAGACCTCATGATTTAGCTTTTGCCTCTCACATTGTCCGAGACAGGGGGCCGGCGGCATGGGGCGAAGCCCTTACGGATACAACATATGAGAACACCGATGGATCCAATTGGATCCTTTTTTCGGGTGTGCGATAGTGTCGTGGATCCAATTTCTGTTTTGCGTGGATCCACTTTCCCGTGTGCGAAGAACAACTGGATCCATGTATGTTCTGGAAATGAACATATATATACACATATGAGGTAATACGAACAATAATAATAATAATAATAATGATAAGAATACTAATACTAATGCTGATCATATTAGTTAACATCCAGGACCCAGGGGGAATGGGATCTACGGGGCACCTATGTAACGTGAAGGATCATGTTACCCACGGAACTGTGGACCTTCTGACCAGAGCTATGGCTCTACGGGGGAAGGGGGG